AAGAGACATAAAATACAGTGAGGCCTTGACTTACGAGTGTCCCGACTAACGAGTTTTTTGAGATACCAGCTGTCTTGGCCGATTTTTTGCATTGAGTTGATAGAGTAATTTGAGTTAACGAGCTCCTTTACGAGCTCGGTCTCAGAACGAAGTAAACTCGTAAGTCAAGGCCCCACTGCACATCTGAATCAAATACAATGTCCACGTGGAAATTGTTTGAATTCTGATTCAAACAAATTTTAAGATAATCAGGGAAAGGAGAATATATATTTCTAAAAAGCCTTATTTGTTAGAAATCAATACTGAATTATTTCAGGTTAAAAGAAATATGTAATGTGTAGAATTTGCTTTAAAACTGTATGTTTCAAGATGGGGCAAGAGGTGGGGAGAATAGATGAAATAAAATGGGCAAAATGTTGGCTATTAATGAAGTTTGGTACCCTGACAAAGATAAAGACATTAGTTAAAGCAGTGAAAACATTTTATTTAGTACCTGCTGACAATAGGGGAAAAAGTTAAGCTCCATTCCAATTTATGCTGCTGAGGTGACTGGTGTTTTAAAGGGTATGAAGGAGGGAGGAAGAGTAGGGGCTCAGGTGAAAAATTATAAAAGGGTTGGTGAGTGTGAGTACCCTTGAGACCAGCTGAGTGTGCTAGCTGGCAGTTATCAGAGTTAAGATTCTGTCCTTCTACAAAGACTGGAAGACAGAAACCCCGTCCTTCCTGATGACTGCCTTTCAAAGGAATGGCTTTCATGTCCTTGAGAAACACATTCCCAAGTTGTAGGAAATACATAAACCTCTCAGAAGCGGGTAGGAATGATTCACAGTTTTAAGCCCTTTTTAATAAATGCTCTAAGAAAGGAAAATCAGGGGTTTATCTTTAGTTGTTGTCTAGAAGAAACAGTAAATTCTCCTGGGAGCCTCAAGCTTTCTCAGGCAGTCATTATATTGGGGGTCTGGGGTCATCCTAAAGCAGTGATGGCAAACCTATGACACGTGTGTCCGAGGTGACATGCGAACTCATTTTTTTGGTTGATTTTTCTTTGTTAAATGGCATTTAAATATATAAAATAAATATCAAAAATATAAGTCTTTGCTTTACTATGGTTGCAAATATCAAAAAATTTCTATATGTGACACGGCACCAGAGTTAAGTTAGGGGTTTTCAAAATGCTGACACGGCGAGCTCAAAAGGGT